CATCAATTCACTTCACTTTATTCATATTATCATTGCATCCAAACAACATTATTTTCCATAGCTTTCTAGAGCCAATTTGTGAAGTTTGAGTTGTTCTTGAGCGTATATAGTTTACTCAACATCTACTCTTAAAGAGAGTCTTGTTCTTGAGTGTTCTTAGTGTTGTAAACACGTTTAGGGAAGCTTGTTTCCCTTGGTTGTACGAAGGAAAGGTATTTTCCTTCGGGTTGAAGTCTTGGAGTGCGGTATCTCCGAGCAAGTGTATTGAGGCTCGTGGGACTCGAGTTCTCAGGTTGTAACGGTTTGTTAAGCACCCGTAAGCTTAACGGAAGTAGTGTAGCTCGAGAGAGTCTCTCGGGAGGCTGGATTAGCCACAAGTTGTGGTGAACCAGGGTAAATCTTGGTGTGCTCCCTTTACTCCTTTTTATTCCACTCTTTACTTTATCCCTGCGATTTTATTCCGCGAAAATTTATAAACATTCTCGTGCCTCACTATTCACCCCCCCTCTAGTGAAGGGCACTTATTCTAACAACTCTCTCACGTCCCTCTCTCTCGTCTCTCTCGATCGAAGCAGCAGCGGCGCACAGCAGGGAGGAAGAAGGAAGAAGGAGAATTTGACGCCGTCGTTCGTGGGTATTGTTTCGTAGCTTTTAATCGTCGAATTCGAGGTGAGTACATGGTCATCTAACATATGGTTATATTCGTCGGTTTGAATCTTACGTTCGTAGAATCATTACGATTGATCTATTTGGACTATACGTAATTTATGCTTTGATTATGTCGTTTATGATTTGAAAAACATGATTTGGGTTAGAACGATTGAGGGATGGTTAGATAATGTTGGGTTAATGATCTATGAACTGATTATGCTTATTTTCATTGGAATTGATTCTGTCTGATGGACGAAAACGGAGTTGGTGCAAGTCTGGTGTTTGCCGCGACAGACGGTAGGGGGTACTGTTGGCACGGTACCTGGCTACCGCCAGCCTCTCCGATTTTGTTCTCCTCTATCGGTACCTGTCACCAGACGGAACCCAAGTGCCGGATGGGCGGTAGGCCCTACCGCCAGTCGGTAGAGGCTACCGTGACAGCCTACCGGTAGGGTACACCAGCTAACATGGTCGGTACCCCCGTACCATGGGGCCGGTAGTCCCTACCGCCAAGGGTACTGTGAGATACCTGAACCGGTGTGTGTTTGTCGTTTGTGTCGAGGATCGATTCCGAGACTTTGTGTGTTGCATGACGGTAAACATGGGTGTCAATGCCCAGGGTTAGGTCACTGTTTGAGTATGTCGGATGTGATGAATTATGTCGTATGATGCATGAACTTGTATGTTGTGAAATATTAACAAATAAAGAATGAAATCCCTAGAACGAACTCTAGGAGCTGACCTGAATGGAATTAATGGCAAGTTATGTCATAAGTTAGTAAGTTAGAGTCATGTGGTACCTGCTAGGTCCAATGGCTGTCCGGGTAAAAACATGTACACGGGGATCTAAGAACTGTCGTTTCGAAGGAGACAGGGATCTCACCCACCCAACGAGGAACTCCCGAGTTGGTTTGAGCTTGACCTTCGTTCCGAAGGGGGGGGTCATGACTCCCATAGGCAAGTCGTATACAGTTGAGGTTTAACTTAACATAGGTTAAGAGCCGAGTACAGAAAGAACGTAAAGTAAACAAAGAGGAAAAGTTTGTTATTGTATTTGTAAATTGTACCTCTTGATTAATGATATTGCTGTTTATGCATTTTATATCCTGTATGATGTATGATTATGCTGAGCATGTTGTGTGCATGATATCGTATGAGGAAATGGGCTAGTGGGATCATCTATGGGTACAGCTGTATGTTAGATATTTCTCACTTAGCTTCAATGCTGAGCGTGTAGCCATTTTTCTATTTGCTACACGTAGGTAATCCAGGAAATGATGAGCTTGGAGCCAATCCCGGAGGGCGATGAGGAGGCTGAGATATGCGTGGCGGTTCTCGATGATTTTAAATTATTACTTCTTATTTAAATAACTTACTACTATTTCGGGCATGATTCCCAAGTTGTGTTTTAAATTATGAATTAAGCTTCCGCAACCGTTTGATTTACTCGAATGGATATTTAAACGTTGTTTCAATTTAAAGGTTTTGAACTGTTTTGAAAGTTAAATGGTGTTTGGATACTAAATTAGTAGCAACCCAGTTCGTTGATCCGAGTATTCGGATTATGCGGGTTAGGGTGTTACATTTTGGTATCGGAGCATATGATTTTAAAACCGTTCTTCGGATCATAAATAGATGGTTTCCAAAAGCTGCACCACATCTCTTGCGACTCATCAGCCCCGAGAAGGTAATAGGTTTATATCTTTGTTTGTTATGTGTTAATGACTGATTAGGAATCTGTGTGTAATTTAGAATGAGTAACGCATCGACGCACACTCATGACAACACCCAACACCTGGGTGATGACCACAACGATGCCGAGACGGAGGCATCTAGCTTCATACCTCAGCAGAATGTTGGGCAGCCCAATGTGCCACTGAACGCGGTAAATAATCAGAACTTCGGGAACCCGCCCGAGAACGTCATGCCGGCTTTCGTGGCTCAATTCTTGCAGCAGATGGCGAACGCGGCGATGTTTCATGTACAAATCTTTTACTTTGCATTTTATAACTTAAGTTAAAATACTTTTGTATTTTTATAGAAAGTATATAAAAATTATAGTTAACTAAATTAACTAAATTTATTATGTGATTTATTCATTTATTAGTATGTATGTGTTTACATTATACTTGAACTAATATAAATTTAAACCGATATAAACTCAAATCTATATAAACCCAAATCAATACAACCCGAATTTATACAAACCCAAACCGATATAAACCCGAACCGATACAAACCCGAACCGAAACTGAACCGAAACCGAAAACCAATCAAACCGAAATAAACCCGGAACCGAACTGACCTGAACCGAACCGACCCAAACCGATTATAACATATATCCGAAAGAGACCCGAACCGAAAAGACCCAAACCAGAACTGAACCGATTGACCCGATTGCCAGGTCTAGTTAGGAGTGGAAGGTGTGGGGTGACGGGAAGAATTAGT